ACACACTTGGTGACTATGGGCAAGAAATTTTTTTTTTTTTTTTTTGTGACAGCGTATCACTCTGTTGCCCGGGCTAGAGTGCCGTGACATTAGCCTAGCTCACAGCAACCTCAAACTCCTGGGCTCAAGTGATCCTCCTGCCTCAGCCTCCCAGGTAGCTGGGACTACAGGCATGTGCCACCTTGCCCGGCTAATTTTTTCTATTTTTAGTTTGGCCAATTTTTTTCTATTTTTAGTAGAGACGGGGTCTCGCTCTTGCTCAGGCTGGTCTTGAACTCCTGAGCTCAAACCATCCGCCCGCCTCGGCCTCCCAGAGTGCTAGGATTACAGGCGTGAGCCACCAAGCCTGGCCTAGAAAAGGTTTTTGAAGATAGGAGTCAACATCAAGTAGTTATTTACAGGAAGTCAGCTTTGCAGAAGGATACGCTTAAAAGCACAATGTAAGGCCAGACCTGTAATCCTAGCACTTTTTTGGGAGGCTGAGGCCGGGAAATTGCTGGAGGCCAGGAGTTCAAGATCAGCCTGAGCAAGAGCAAGACCCTGTCTCTACAAAAAATAGAAAAATTAGGCCAGTGTGGTGGCGAGCTCCTGTAGTCCCAGTCTCTTGGGAGGCTGAGGCAAAAGGAGGACTTGAGCCCAGGAGTTGGAGGTTGTAGTGAGCTATGATCACACCCCAGCACTCTACCCAGGGGGGCAGATCAAGACTCTGTCTCAAAAAAAAAAAAAAAAAGTAAGAATGGGTAAGAAGGGCTGGACTCTGAAGCCTGGCTTTTAGAGCTTCTGCACATTTACTTGGTGGGCTATCTCCCACTACTGCTCCTTCATACAGAGTCTATACTCTGTGAAACTGGACTATAATGTTCCCAGAACATGCCTAGACTATCTTACCCAAAGAGATTTGTTAACATTTCCCCTCTACCAAGAATCGCCTTTCTCTGTTTCCTGCTTTCCATGGCTTTTTTCTTTGAAGTTTTTCCAGTTTTCCTCCCTTCAATCAGATTGATTCTGTTGTCCTTAAAACTGTTAGAGTTCTTTCAGTCTGTAATGCAATTCAGATCATTCACCTGATAGTGTAGTCATTTGTCAATAACTAAATTTTAACTTCTTATAGGTTGGGGCTTGAGTCTTATTCATGTTTGTGTTCCCTGTGGGCTCAGTACAGTGTCTACTTGGCATGCACTTGGGAAGTCATTGAATTGAGGGGGAAAGGGCCGTGCCAAACCTAGTTCATAATCTTTAGATACCGTCATCAGACTGCCATGTACTGTGGTCTGACTTTGTTACCTCTCTAGCTATTCAGATCTTGCTGCTGAATGTGCAGAAGGAGAATATCTTTTTTTACTTTTTTTTTGTTAATATGAAAATCTGGCTGTGAAAGATGCTTCCTAACTTTAGCTTGCTGGCTCTCTCACAGGGTTTCCTCATAGTGTTCAGGGACTGGGTCCATTCTTGGCATCCTGAGGCAGGTTTTATGAGCTGCTTCGTTCATGCCTTTTTTGGGGGACTAGACTATATTTTGTGTTATTTTGTTCTGGTTTGGCATTTTAACTTTCTTCTAAAAGACGAAGTTCAGAAAT